CATCAATGAGAGAGAAACATCATCAATCAGCTGCCTCCTGCACACTCCCTGCCAGGGATGTGCCCGCAACCCAGGTACATCCCCTTGACTGGAATCGAACCTGGGACCCTTCAGTCTGCAGGCTGACGCTCTATCCACTGAGCCAAACCGGTTAGGGCAATTATGAATATTCTTTATGCTACCCAAGAACTTGAGAAGTTGTAGTTTCTTAAAGGTGGGTAGCATTGTGGAATTTAAAACCACATCGGTGTGCTTTGTGTACTCTATTACATTAAAGTTCATTAAGCTGTAACACTTTTTAAAATCTATGTATAATTATTTTTAATATAAGGCATTGGTCATTTGGAAATTATTGGTCCAAGGAGTTATGCAGATCTAAATTTTGACACACTTTATACAATATCAAAAATTCATATTTGTTAATATCACCACTGACTTATCAGGGAAGTCTTTAAGTATTGAAAATCTGTCAAGGTCATAGTAGTGGATGCAAATTCTCCAAAATTTCTGTTTGACAGCTCAGATGTTATTACTGGCCGTAGCAAAAGCACTTCATTCGTAAAGATCACTGCATTCTTCTTTAACTGCGTGTCTGCAGACACTCAGTCCTCCAAAATGTGTGCTCCCCCTCCCATGGTGTAGAGTTGTCACTATGTAGCAGCTTCAGAGCCACAGGGTTTATTTGCCAGCCCTCCTCACATCTAGGTATGGCTAAGGCTTAGTCTCACTAATGGTATGCGATTTTAAGAGATGTGGGTAACTTCTGAGCCAAGACTTTTAAAAGTATACACACCCATCCCTCTTTTATTCTCCTGATGCAGATTGCTTTTAATAACTATGGGGTTCTGTAGGATGCTGACCCCAGAAGGGAATAGCCTGGATCTCTGAATCACTATGTGGAGGAGAGGCAATCACTGACTACTAATATAAAAGTCCGAAGGTAGCTTTAAGAGTAGGCTAGGGCTCTAGAGAAACATAAGAGGCCCAAAGCTCAAATGAACACATAGGTTTGAATGAACTTCTACCTTAAACAGAGTTCCCAGGAGTCACAAATAATTTAAGCAGAAGTTTACAGCAAAAACCTCAGTAAGTAATCCTTGCCTTTTTGAAATGGTGTAACTGCCCTTTTAGTTTCCCTACCAAAAAAGGTGGTGTGTAGCAGACCTGTGCTTCCCCAATGAGGCTTAGTTTCTTTAAGAGGTTTAGAAATTCCAACCCTTTTGCTGTCACTGTGCCTCTGGACCACTTTAGACTCAGAGTGTAGGTTTTTTCAATTCTCTAAACATTGCTCACTAGAGGACTCCATATATAAAATTAGGAAACCAGTGAGTTCCCCCACCCTTCACCCCCAGTCTTCTCCCTTTTTGGCACTTCCACTAACATCCTTCCTCCTTCGGTCTCACCTATTAAAATTTGATCCCAGGAAAGGATCTGAAAACTCACATTAGTCATGAGTGAAGGACTGAGGCTATGGTAATTCTCATAAGTTGCAACTCATCCTATGTTGAAAAATTTAAGCCTTAAATACTTACAAGCCTATAAAATTAAATGACTTAGAGGCAAGCAGTATGAGAAGTGGTTCAGAGTTCAGACTCTAAGGACAGAATTTGCTGGCTTTGAATTCATATCCAACACTTACCAGTTATGTGAACTTAGACAAGATACTAAATTATATTATGCTTCAGTTGTTTCATTTTATAAATGACAATAAACTGACCTGCCACATAGGAATGTTACCAATGAGGTTTTATTAAGTTAACACATTTTATCAAGAGTATGCTTTAAACTGAAGATTTCTCCAAGTTAAACCTAAATTATTAAAATTTAATTATGAGCAGCATATGAAAAGAAATACTCATTAAACCTCTAACCTGCCCTCCAGACTTAGGTGACCTCATCAAAAAAAAAAAAAAAAAAAAAAGAAAGGAAAAAAAAAGAAAAATCTAGTCATGTTTTTGAATCAAATAGAAAATATTTTTAAAATATTTGTGTAAATAAAATATGATACATTTTATAAAATTTTTCCATTAATATAAAAATCAAATGTATTAGAAGCAAATATAATTCCTATGTTTTTCAAATAAAAATGATCTTTATAAGTACAGTATTAAATTTATTTCAAGCATATTAGTGTACCACCTAGAAAAATTCTTCATTTTAGATTACATATGATTATTTTAAATTATTGAATATTGATTATAGGTGAATATTAAAATGTAAAACAATTTCATATGTTATTTATGTAAAAAACTTAAAAACAATATTATATGGTATAGAAAAAAAGAATGCCCACAAACTTCAATATAGTCATTACCTCTGGGAATGGGGGGACTAACTTAGGGATGGGACAAAAGAGCTGTAAATAAAAGGCCTGACAAGGAAGTGTGGCAAAATGCAAACAGTTGTTACATGTGAGAAATATTCTCTATACCAGCAGTTCTCAACCTCTGGGTCGTGACCCCTTTGGCGGTTGAACGACCCTTTCACAGGGGTTGCCTAAGATCATCCTGCATATCAGATATTTACATTATGATTCATAACAGTAGCAACATTATAAAGTTATGAAGTAGCAACGAAAATAATCTTATGGTTGGTCACAACATGAGGAACTGTATTTAAAGGGCCAGAAGGTTGAGAACCACTGCTCTATACTATCCTGCAGGTTTGAATAAAATATAACATAGTCAAATCTCAGTTCTCAAATGTCTCTCATCTTGAACAATTTGGTTCTTGACCAAGTTGTTCACAGGAAAAAAATGTCTTGGTTGTTGAACAAGCTTAGGTTCTGGGTTTGACAACCCTTTCATGTTGATCCATCAGCATGACAAAAAGTGTCTCTCTCAGGCCACAAACAAAGGAGAGAATGTCAGTCAGTTTACTGCGTTGTAAACATCTCAGGAAATTATGCTGTGAATATTTTTGTGGGTTTTTTTTGCTGACAAAATGGACAATTAACACACTCTTAAACATAAATAGGCCATCATGAGTGCTAATGCTGGTAAGGATGTGAAAGAAACAATGATCACAGGCAATTGAAGAGGTAGAGAAACTATTTTTGATTTGGATAAATGAAAAGCAGTTAGCATTTCTGAAGCAGTGATATGTGCAAAAGGGAAGGTGCTGCATCCTGACTTCCTAAAAGACACCCCTGGAACATTGCTGAAAGTAATTTATTTAAGGCTTATAGGCTGTGGTTCGATAAATTTAAGAAAAGAAGTGTTTGCTTATAGATTAAACAGTACATTAGACATGCACTGTATATAAATAGAAAGGTTAAAACAGGAAATCATTGGGGTTTGGAATGCATTAATTCAATTTAAATTATTTCTAATGGGGAAAAAATGACTTGGTTTTCAAACAAATCACTTCTTGAATAGTCTTCTAGAACAAATCAGGTCAAGAACCAATGTTCCACTGTAATAAAAACAAACCTAAAAGAAGACCCCTGTGTAAGGTAGCAAGATAAACATAGCCACTTTAATCTCCTAGCTCTGAGTTAAAAAACTGTAAAAAATAAATAGAAAAATATGTATCAGCACCAGAAGATAAACATAAAAATTGATATATATCTGAAACCTATGAAATGGGACCAAATTTTCAAGGTTTTTAATAATAAATATACTTTACCATATGATGGGAAAGTACATAAGAGGAGGTCTTGACAGATCTCCATCCCACTGGCAGAAACTTACTTGGAAAGCAAAAGCTGCGTTGAAATGTTGGGAATCTAATGAGAATCCCTTCACTCATGGTCACTTTTGCCTCTAAAGTCCAGGAGCACCTGGTAGAATGGTAAGCCGCTGACAGGGCTAAAATGTGATATAGAAAACTGTGGTCTTTCCTAGGGACTTGATGTTTTGCATCTAGCCATCTCAGTTTTCACTCCTTAATAGAAAACTCTTCTTGGTTTATGTAACATTTAGTGTACGAATAGCTTGTTAATGGCTTTTTATTTATTTATTTAATTGATTTCTAAATATATTCAGTTTTTATGCTGCAACAGAAGACATTTAGTCTATCATAGTATACCATGTGAAAACAGGATAAGAAGCCTTTTTCTAAAGATTTTTTTTCCTCAACATCTGAGATACCTTCCACTGGTAGGAAAAGAAAACACTTGTTTCTTAAATATCTAAAACGGTGATACTTTTCTCTATCTTCAGTCTGGTCATGTAAGTTTCTGTCTCACTTGAAATATTTAGCTAAGACATTTACTAGGCCTGTGCTGAAGGGAAATCTACTAATGTAAGCTGCCTTACAGAACCTGTTTCCTGAACACTCCCATTTTCCAGAGGCCATAAACCATGAACCATACACAACTCCCGGAGGGGTTTGTCAGTGCTGGTGCCAGCCAGGCCAGACCTTTGGGTGTAATCTCACTTCCCCCATCCCAACCCACAGAGGGACCGCAAAGCCCATGAAAAAGTCCACAAGCCTGATACAAAAGGAAGGCTTCCTCCATACTCATCACACAGGCTTTGGAAAACTGCCTCCCCTGAGTCACCGTACTAGTACATCTGCAAATAAAGGGTTTTTCCTGAATCTCTGAGTACTCGTTGTGCATTTTCCAGTTGCCTGGTAAATTCTGCAACAATGAAGCTTAGGGATATCCAGGAATTCTAACTACATTTTGGCACTGGCAAAAACTTAGAGAAATTGTTCTTAATATTGAGATATGTTTTGGTGACATTTTGCAATTTTAAAGTCCAATTAAAAATCCTAGATCCAGGCATCTTTTCTGGTCTTGGCTCCATTTGTATACTTGCTTTCCTATTACCCTAAATCATCACATATGGTGCCATAAATATAGCGCCTGCACTTAAAGACAGCCTAATGCTCTGAGGAAAGCTCCTTGGTTATCTTTCTGCTCTACCACCCCCAAAACCAGAAAAGAACAAAATTAGTAATGTGTTAATTTTGCAATTTTAAGAAATGGGAACAAGTAGGGTATTCCACAATATGTATAATTATTGTAGGATGGATTTAAGTATTACAAAATAGTGCTTGCTTCGGCGCACATACACTAAAATTGGAATAATACAGAGATTAGCATGGTCCCTGTGCAAGGATAACACGCAAATTTGTGAAGCATTCCATGTTTTAAAAGGAAAAAGAAGGAATTACAAAATAACCCAAAGTAGAATTTCTGTAACATCTGGTCTTTTAAAATGAGTATGTGCAAGCTATCACCATTAAATCTATGCATCAGAGATTAATTTGAAATAACAGAGAGACCGTGTTATTCTTGACCATGATAGGACTCCTGCTGTGATTTGCTATAAGTGATGTAACGTCTGCCTGAGTTTTAAGTTGTAAAATACAATGCTAATATTTAACCTACCTCAAAACTTGAGGATCTGTGAAATACTGAACAAGTGTCCAATCCAAAATAAAAATGTTACTGATTGTCTTTTTATTAAAAAAAAAATTCCTGGAAACATCTAAACCAAAAAAAAAAAAAAAAAAAAAAAAAAAAAAAAGCAAAAGTAAAAAATAAAATTCCAAAAATTAGACTTTTTTTTTTTTTTTACCAGACTAAATAATAAAAGATAATGAAGTAACATCTCTGGTTTCGTGGGAAAATGTGATTTGAGAACTTAAATTGGAAAATGAGCTCAATGTTTAAATAAAATATTTAATGTACATCAGCCTGACTTTCCAATAGGTAAAAGTTATAAAATTTTGAAAATATTAAAGAAAATAATTTGAATATACAAGAAAATGCCAAAAGCCACCATAAACTGGAAGGGAGTCGAACCTTTGAGGAGGAAAGGAACCTGTGATAAATACAATTTGTGTTCATGCAGCTACAGCATTTCGACTGACAGAACTCCCTAGTCTATGTGGCATGTAAGTAGATGGAATGCAAACAGAAGGTAGGAGTATTCCTGGTTTGAGGAGTCAAGTAGAAATATTATTCACTTAAGACTGCCAAAGGATTGAAAAATGAGGAACTTTTAGAAATCACAGAAAGAAAAGGGTTGCAGAAGGCAAGTACCAAATCTGCATGTTATAAGCTCTATTCAAACTTCTGGCTGTTGTCTGAATTACTCATGCATTGGGTAGAGGGAGAGCAATAGGGTGGAAAGGTGAAAAGGAATAGCTGGATAACTAAAGTGCTGAGATTTCAGTGGCTTACCACCGCAGAAGACATAGTCTCTGGACTTTGAGTCCAGCTGAAGAAATTGCCTGCTTGAACAAAAATTACTATTGTTCAGTGGAATGTAACAAAACCCAGAGTCTCCTCAAAGTATCATTCAAAATTCTCAGAATACATAAGAAATGATTAGACATGAAAAGGAACAAGAAATTGTGACTTATAGTTAAGAAAAAATAGGCAATAAAATCCATCTCAATGTTATCCAAATATTGGAATTATCAGAAAATAATTTTAAAGCAGCTATTGTAAATATGTTCGAGGGATTAAAGGAAAATACGGTCTTGAAGAGAACCTCAGAATAAAAATGATAACTATAAAAAAAGACCAAATGAAAATTCTTAACTGAAAAGTATAATATATGAAGTAAAACATTCATTTATTGGGTTTAAGAGTAGAATGTAAACCATGGGTGGAAAAAAATGAGTGAACTTAAAATGAAATAAGTAGAAATTGTGTTTTCTAAAGAACACAGAGGAAAAAAAGGTTGAAAAAACAAACAAAACAAAATCCCAGTGAGCTGTGTACAGTATTAAGCAACACAGTACATGTAAATTGGAGTCCCAGGGAGAAATAGAACAGAATTTGAAAAAATAATGGCAAAAAAATTCCCAAATTTGGTTAAAAACATCAAACTACAAGTTTAAGAAACCCCAAGGAGGATGAACACACAAAAAAGTGCATCAGCCCATCATGGACAACTTGCTAAACACCAAGAATAAAGAGAAAAATCTTAACAGTAGTTAGGGGGAAGAAAGCACATTACATCTACTAGGAATCAACAAACTACAGCCTGCAGGTCCAATCCAGCTCATGACCTATTTTCCATGTAGCTTCCAACCTAAGAGTGTTTTTATTAAATACATTCTTAAAGAGTTTTTTTTTTTTTAAAAAAATATTAGGTGACAGAGACCAAGTGTATCCAACATAATTTAAAATATTTACTATTTGGTCCTTTATAGAAAATGCTTCTGATCTAAGACATAGTGAAAATGACAAGAATAGTGTCTGGCTTCTCACTTAAAATAATACAAAATAGAACACAACAGAACAATATCTTTCTGAAAGGCAAAAGAAAAGTGCTCATAATTTTATATCCAACAAAAATATCCTTCAAAAGTAAGGCAAAATGAACATTATTTTTAGATACATAAACTTGAGAAAATTCATTGCTAGCAGAACTAAACTATGAAAACTGTCAAAAGGCCATTTTTCAGGCTGAAGGGAAATGATAACAGATGGTAATTCAAATTTATATCAAGGAATGAAGAACCAGAAATGATAAATATGTGAATAAATATAGAAGGCTATTTTTAAACCTTCTCTTGATATTTTAAAAATACATTATAATCACTTCTACTTCTAACTAAGATGAAGTAACAGGCACCGATTTACTTTCTTAAACAACTGAAAATTTAGAGAAAATAAATGAAACAATGGTTTTCATGTGTTGGACAACAGGAAACATAGGAAAGTAATCCCAAAGAAAAGAGAAACAAATGAGGGAGCCCTTCAATTGTCCCATGTTTTCCATTTTTCACTCTACTCCACATATAGTTCCTATATTTCTAGTGAAGTTGGACAATATTAACTTTAAGTAGTATTGTGATAATTTAAGGATGCATTTTGTAATCATTAAGGCAACCTCAAAACTTACAAAGAGATACAGGCAAATAAGTAATAGAGGAAATAAAGTGTAATACCAAAAATATTTAATTAACTGAAAGAAGATAGTAAAGGGGAAATGGAAGAACAGAGAAATCAGGAGAGGTAAAAATGAAAAAAAAAAAGGAACATGGTAAAAATAAATCTACACTTATAGTGATTGTAAATAAAGTAAGCACTCTAATTAAAAAGAAGACATTGTCAGACTAAATAAAAAAAACACACAACTAAAGGCTCTCTACAAGAAATGCACTTTAGACACAAAACCAAAAATAGGTTGTAAGTAAAATGATAGGAAAAGATACACCATACAAACCATAAGCATAAGAAAGCTGAGTTGGCTCTATTATATTAAACTATGATGGCATGGGGGGGGGGGGTCCCTCAGTCCAGCCTGCACCCTCTCCAAACTGGGACCCCTCAGGGGATGTCCGACTGCCGGTTTAGAGTCTAAACCGGCAGTTGGACATACCTCTCACAATCCTGGACTGCTGGCTCCTAACCGCTCACCTGCCTGCCGGCCTGGTCACCACTGTCCCCCCCTGCTGGCCTGGTTGCCCCTAACTGCTCCCCCTGCTGGCTTGGTTGCCCCTAACTGCCCCCCCCCATGGGTCTGGTTGCCCCTTACTGCCCCCCTGCCGGCCTGGTTGCCCCCAACTGTCCACCCTGCTGGCCTGGTAGCCCCTCACAGCTGCCCTGCTGGCCTGGTCGCCCCACGCAGCCTGCTGTTCGGTCGACCAGTTGTTTCGGTCGTCATGGTCACTACCTTTATATATATATAAATATAGACTAGAATATATATATATATATTCTATATATAGAATATATATATATATAGACTAGAATTCAAGACAAGAAGAATTATCGTAGATGTGACAGAAAATTTCAAAATGATTAAAGGTAAGCATTATAACAATGAGTATGTGCCCAATAACTTAAAGATAAAGCAAAAATCAAAAGAATCAAGTGGAGAAATAAATACTTCCAAATTAGAGTTGGAGATTTTAATATCCTTTGTCACTAATTAATAGAATAAGTAATTAAAACATCAGTAAGGAGATAGAACCAGAGTTAGCAAACTTTTTCTATTATGGGACAGATAGTCAATATTTTAGTCTTTGTGGACCACATGTGGTCTGTGTGGTATATTCTTCTTCCTTTTACAACTCTTAAAAAATGTAAAAGTCATTCTTAGCTCACAGGACATGAAACAGGGTATAGGCCAGATTCAGTTCACAGGATATAATTGCTAACTCTTGATACAGAAGATCTGAATAATACTATCAAATACCTTGATCTAATTAAGATTTATAAAACTACTAGAAAATGTACATTCTTCTCAAGTGCACATCAAATCATCCAGATAGGCCATGCACTGTACCATAAAGCAAGAATAATCATATAGAGTATAGTTTAAATTAGAATTAAGTAACTATAAGATATCTAGAAAATCCCCAAATATTTGGAAATTAAGCAATACATCTCCAAATAACCCAAGGGTGAAAATAGAATTTATACTGAAAATTAGAATATATTTTAAATTAAATGATAATGAAAATACAACACATCTAAATTATACAATGTTGCTAAAACAGTGTTTAGAGAAATTTATAGCTTTCAATGCTATATGAAAAAATAAGAGAAAGAATGATAAAATAAATAGGGTAAAATTTAAGCAGTTGATGGATCAGGGATATACCAGTATAGAAGTTCCTTATTCTATTCTTATCACCTTCTGTAAGTTAAAATTTTAACAGAATAAAGAGTTCCCTCAAACCCCTTAATTTTATGTTCAGCCAAGTTGTTATTCACCTATGAGACTGGGAGTAAACACAGATATGCAAGATTAGGTCAAGATGGTAAAGTACCTCTCCATTCAAAACAACAACTATGTATGAAGTTCTGGAAAAACTCGTGGCAACAGCAAGCAAGAAATTTCATGTTAACTACTAAAAGATAGAAATCAGATAGGATGATATATATGAGGATAGGAGTGGGGAAAATGACAGCACAAATCCCAAGAGCAATAATTCATTAATTTTAGAAACAGAAATTAACTGAAGAATAGTTTTCGGAATAGGAAGAGTAGGTTGAGTAGGTTAGTCCCTCTGTCCTCTGTCCTGTATCAAGATTAAAAAGTTATTTCCCTTGACATTAGTGGTTTTAACTTTGCCTGCATGTTGAAATCATCCTGGGTAGCTTAAAAAAATCCTGAGGCAGATTCTGATTTAATGAGTCAGAAATGAGGCCTGAGCACCAGGCCAATGCTTTGTATTAGAGA